TACTTATTTTATTTAATTGACGGAGATACGTTTTTCATATTGCAGGAGAATTGTAAATATTATGTGGAACGAGATTGTGAACGGGACGAATGAGATGCGCGTAGTACAAAGGACAGGTGAAGACATAAAAAAAGAGATATTGCAGAATACTATTATTATCATCGGTGCAATCGCACAATGCGTATAATATCTAGCTCCAATGTATAAATTATTATGGATACGAAGGGCTTCCGCCCCTTTATCAATAAATAATGACAACGAAAATAATCGAAAGTAATCGAAATAGGAAAAAGGAGACCAAAATAAAGATTTCGAATGCGTTTAAAGATGGAGTTAAGATTCTTAATTACACCTAATAGCTAAAACAGTGGAACTGGGATATGTTTAGCAAGAGTAATCATAACATTTACAAAAAATCGATCTACACTCGCATCCCAATCTATCTCGAAATCCATCCTACTAGTCTCAGTAACTGGTCCAAAATTTTGCTATCGACCTAGGCGGACCAGTTACTGAGACTAGTAGAATTCATTTTCCGGATTTTTGGGAGGCTGAAGCTGTCTCTTATACACATCTAGATGTGTATAAGAGACAGCAGTTACTGAGTGAAAAAAATTCATTTTAGTGTTCTGTAGAGATGAAGTTATCACATGCCTTCAGACTCTCAAAAATCCGGAAAATGAATTCTACTAGTCTCAGTAACTGGTCCAAAATTTTGCTATCGACCTAGGCGGACCAGTTACTGAGACTAGTAGAATTCATTTTCCGGATTTTTGGGAGGCTGAAGCTGTCTCTTATACACATCTAGATGTGTATAAGAGACAGCAGTTACTGAGTGAAAAAAATTCATTTTAGTGTTCTGTAGAGATGAAGTTATCACATGCCTTCAGCCTCCCAAAAATCCGGAAAATGAATTCTACTAGTCTCAGTAACTGGTCCGCCTAGGTCGATAGCAAAATTTTGGACCAGTTACTGAGACTAGTAGAATTCATTTTCGGGATTTTTGTGATCTGTCCAGAAATCAATCCCACTAGTCTCAGTAACTGGTCCACTTAGGTCGATAGCAAAATTTTGGACCAGTTACTGAGACTAGTAGGATGGATTTCCTGATAGATTGCGATGCCAATGTAGATCGATTTTTTGTAAATGTTATACATACGCTACAAGATTACTGTGTACAGCATACGCTGTGTATACAGTAATGTCTCC